CATCACCGGGCTGGCCCCAAAATCAAAATATTTTGGAAATATTCTTTGAATATTTAACTTTTTCTTGTTAGTTTACTGTTTTTGAAATCCAGAAGTAGCTTTGCATTCTGCTTTTGAAAATAAAATGTATTAATTAAGCCTAAATAAAAATTTCTTTGTACTTAAGGAGATGTGCCTATTACCTATCCACCTATCTATCCACTACTCATTCACATAGACACACACTATCTATAAAAACTATCCTATATATCATCCATTAACAACATATACATATGTAGCTTCAATTTAATTCAATTCACAGAACATACAAAGTGTACTGGAAACACAGAGAAAAATTTATTAATAACAAGCAACTGAATGTTAAAAAGAACCCTCAGACTGACACACTTAGAATAAATAGTCTATTGTGTGCTTCAAATAAGGATACTGACGTTCTGATGTTTTTAATAGAAGTATTTGAGGAAACACGTCCCTGGAAATTCCCCAAGCAACTGTGTTGTAAGTCTGTTCAGCCATCAAGAGCTGTAAACAAACCGTGACGTTCAGCCATTGTTCTTTGAATTTGCTCATTTTAAATAAGCTGGTAATATATTTCACATGTTTCTGGAATGATCCATAATTTAGCACCGGGAAGCTTTTTCTGGCAATGATGAGTTCCTTGTTTAATAAGGAGAATTTCCCTCGTGCTAACTATTCTCATGTATATGGGGCTCACAGTGGGTGCTGGCGATCTTTCCCATCTTACATAAAAGGTTAGATTTGAACTGGACCTAGAAAACAATCACTTCCAATTTTCTTGATGAGGAAACTGAGGCCAAGATAAATTGTAACTGGTCCAAAGCCACAAGGGACTAGCAGAGCTCTCACCTCTCCCCCTAGTCTTCCATTTCCCCTCAGAAGAACAGCCATTCTAGTCTGAAGCATCTAAAACCTGTGGTCAGGGTCTGTATTCCTGCACTGGGGCGGGAAAGACGGAGAAGTGATGACCTTGACCTTTGGTGCAGGCTCCTCAGGAACAGTCAGCAACTGGTTAACTCGAACTCATTGCTTTAATTGGTCTGACTTGAGTGGAAACACCATCCTGTTCTTTAAACCAGCTCTTGAAAGGAATAGTCCTTCCTGAATCCAACACAAGATTCAATCCAATCCTGAATCTTCTGAAGGTTTGTTTAGAAAGATGAGGTCAGGTTTCTTCTAAGTCCATCTGGGAAAATCTGTCTCATGTAAAGACCACGTGGACCTCCCAAGGACGCCGGCCAGAGCAGGGTTGCTGCTAACGCTTTGGCTATGGCAGGCTCAGCTGAAACTTGAGATCCACAGTTCCCCTGTAGAAAGCTAGATATTGCTTTTAACTCTTCCCCGAGTTTGTGATTTCCTCTAGCTGATACTATTGCGTCTGCAAACTGTTAGGCTTCACAAGGCAGGGAAACAGAACAGCAAAAAGCTAAATTTCCTATTGAAAATGACAAACATAAACATGCTCCCATAACCACTTTAAAATTTAAAATAATAGCAGTCAGGTGCGGCAGAAGAGGAAGTCAAAGAGATCTGACGTATGAGAAGGACTCGATGTGGCTTGAAGACGGAAGGGACCACATGGAAGGCATGAGAAGGAACTGAATTCTGGTAACAACCAGTGAGCTTAGAAGAGAACCCTGAGCCTCGAAGGAGAACACACCTGGCCAACACCTCGATCGTTAGCCCGGTGAGACCCTGAGCAGAGAACCCAGCTACATCATGCTAACCTCCTGACGTACGGAAACTGAGATTAATAAACGTGTTGTTTTAAGCCACTTAAAAAAAAATGAAAATAATGCTAAGAGGTCCTGGGCTGGCTCATACAAGATGTCGGTTCAAATTCTAGTTTTACCACTCACTCACTGTATGACTTGTGTCAGGTCACCCAGCCCCTGAGTCTCATCTCCCATCTGTAAATTGGGGGAGGAGCATATTAATATCTGCTTTCTAGACTAGTGTGAAGAACAAAAGAAAATGTGTTTGAAATTCCTTTGCGCACATTAACGCATCTTGTAAATACAAGTTTTTACAATAAACCTCCTCCCCAAAATCATTGTGTTGATAAGAATTCTGCATTTCTCTCTCCACATATCCTCCATTTTAATTGAGCATGAAATTAGCTAAATATTTATTTTGTGAAATATTTGTGAAACAGCAACATAAAGGAATTTTTTAAATCTAAAAAGACAATATATTTACTGAGAAGGTCACTCCTTCCTCAGCACACATTCACAAGCTTGAAATGTAATTTGGGACCCAATCTCTTAGTGCCCTCTTCTCCTTTGGGAACAGAGTCTGGCTGAACTGGTCACCCCTACTTATAGCTGCAGCACAGTACAATGGCTCCCTCTGCTCTCACCTCCTAACCAATAAAACTTAGAAGCTCTTCAACATTCTCCATCTCATCTGATCCTCCCAGGCCTGAGCTAAGACAGACAAAATGACACTGCATGATAAATGGCTGGCCCCGGACCACACCACCAGTCAAGAGCAAAGCCAGGCCTGGAACTGAAGCCATCTTATTGCAGAGCTGGGTGTGTGTCCCCCGACCCCACAGCACCTGGAGAGGACACTGCAAGCTTTTTCTGTGCCCAGGGTGACACCAGATTTGCCAGCTATCTCCCAACACTCCAATCACATACCCTTATGGTGCCAAAGTCCCAAGGCCAGGCTGGAATTTGGGACACACCATGCAGGCGGGGTGTGGATTTCTGGACTTGTTTGCTTCTAGTTAAACAAACTGGCTTGGCACCAAAAAATAAGTCCAGACTGATCAATAATCAGAAGTCTCACAACTCACCTCAAGAAAACCTTCTTGTTCATTTTATTTGAATGTATTCAATAGCATTAATGTTAACCACTTATCCACTCCTCCAAAAAGAAGATATACCCCCGGAATCATGCCAGATCATTAAGGAAGCACAAGATAAAATGGCTAATGATAGACTTAATTACCTTCTCCTCAAAAGCCTGAATTCTAGTTTTAACACACAAAAAAAGGAAAGCTGATAAAATTGCACTGATAAAATTGGAAAACACAAAGGCAGATAATGGAATTCAAAGCGCAACTTCTTTATGCACGTCACAAATTCATTCAGTAAGTTCATTATTTAGAGCCTCATTTCTTGCTTTTAAAACTGCCAGTCAACTGATTTATTTAATGAAAGGCCACAAATACAAATTAGAGTACAAGTTAGTAATGTTAATCGGAAAGGATTTGGATCCGAGTTAATTGCTTTGAGTCTTGATTGTAAACATTAAAAGGAAGCTGTGAGAATATACTTTGTATTTGTGGGGAAGAGGCGAACACTGGTTTCTGGAGTAAGTATACAGATCCAGCTATAATTCTAGTTCCCAAATTAGCAAGGTGGATACACACCACCTAGTTATTTCTCTAATGAAGCATCTTCCGTCTCCTGCCCTCTTCCTCTAGCTGAAGCCCAGGGAGTGACTGGGGTTGATCTCAGGGGTGGCCATCTGCCCTACGCATGTTGTCAGACACACCAACACACCAACTCTCAATGATTTTTTGAAATAATAAATTATTCTCTTACATACACCTCCACTGATACAGAGAATTGAGAGAGGAGTACATTTTCTTGGGACTCACAAAAACTGAGAGTGAAGGAAAGCTCAGAATTACTGACTAATGAAAGAGCATGAAAGTACTTTCAAGGAGTCTGGCATTCTTTTTCTGGCTGCCACTCATCAGTAGTATGACCCCTGGCAAGGCATGAACACAAAACCATTGCTTTCTCTATGAAATGGATCTAATATCTCTCCATTTATCTCATAGGATTGTTCTCAAAAACTCCTTAAAAAGCATATGTAAAAATATATAAATAAAACAATTTTCATTAACTATTTGAAGAAATTTCTTTCTTTCTCATAACGTAGAGTTGGATACTTTCTTTGGAGTCTAAAGAAAAACTAGATTATCTAACAAGTGAAAATAATTGAATTACAGAAAAACCTAATTATAATTCTCCTCCAAATTCACTAGGTTCATAATTTACATTGCAATGAGTTTGCTGCTTAGGGCATTGATTAAAATCACTGCTGTATAAAATGGTTCATTCAATAATTCTTTGGGAATGCAAATTCAAGTTCAGCCAACAATGAGTACATTTCCAAAGTGAAATAATGTTGACATTCTAGGAGATGATTAAGCAAATTAAGAAACCTCATAACCCCAGAATGTTTTTAAACGATCTTATTGATTTCTTCAAAACTGAATTAGAAAATGAAATTTGAATTATGAGTCAATTATTAACCTTCATACTCAGGTATCACATTAAAAGCATGTAACATTCAATAAAAAGACATCAACACCAGCACAGGAATGTGAGCTTTCAGTTTTGCAGAAACAGATGTTCCAGTTGTTAGCCAACTCCTGGCACTCTACTTTAGGAGAGTCCTGCCTTGAGTATATTGGTATTCAAATTCAAATGGAAATGACCTTAAGTTAACACTCTAATGTAAATCCTTTCTTTAAATATCATAACAAGGAAACACATTCCTCTAATAGACTTGTGGAAGGTCAGAACTGACCTCAGAGAGCACAGAGTCCAACTCTTACTTTACAGAACTAGTGGCTTTGATGCCTGCCAGCATTTTTTACTAGAAGGGTCAAAGACCTAAATTGTTATTTTTCATTTTTTAGGAGGAAGATTAGCCCTGAGCTAACATCCATCACAGATCCTCCTCTTTTTACTGAGGAAGATTGGCCCTGAGCTAACCTCTGTGCCCATCTTCCTCTACTTTATCTGTGGGACACCTGCCACAGCATGGCTTGACAAGCAGTGCGTAGGTCTGTGCCTGGGATCCGAACCAGTGAATACCAGGCGACTGAAGTGGAGTGCATGAACTTAACTGCCACGCCACTGGGCTGGCCTTGATTATTTCTCTGGATAATGATCAATGCCTGTGCAATGGCAGTGTGGAATATCACACGCACAACAAGAAAGTCTGCAACAAGTGAAGACATTACACTTGCTTCCATTTATTTTTAAGAAACAAGGCAGCAAGAGTTATTTCCATAAATGATATTGCAGACTTGGGTATTTTTTGTCAATTCTGAACCTCGGATTTAATAGCCACTTGGCTCCTGAATGGTAAAATTGAACATGACTAGAAACATGCAACACAACAAAAGTTAACACACTTGATTTCCTGCTCCACATTTATTGGGGCTAGAGAGACTAAAACTGCTATTTTCCTCTCACATAACTGCAAAAATATAATACAACAGCAATTTCTTAAATACATAACAAAACTTTCTGGATCATGATTTCAACATGAGATGTTAATAGCCTATAGATATCAATTGTGACAGCTTGATAAAATGTCATTCATCTAAGGCATTCTGAAATTGTCTTTAAAGTTACACATATGTACATGATTCTATATACACAAAGGCATCCATTCATGAACAGAAAGTCTTTTAGAAGCACTGTGTAGGGAAGGCTAGAGTAACACACATTTAGATTCTGAATAATGTTTAGGAGACAATTTGGGGTTCCAAGCAACAGTCATTTACGTTCAAATGAACATGTAGATTTTCAAACCTGGATAGATAAGATTTTTTGATGCAGGCTACAAGAAAATTCACACTGTGAATTACTCATTTTCCAAAGGCCTCTCTCAAAATGGAGATTTCAAGTCTGGAGCAAATATCCATGGCATGAACAAATAGGATGCCTAAGATTCTAAAATTTGCTTCCATATGGCTTTCCTTCTCACCTCCCTACCTAACAATGGGAGAAAAACTCCTGCAGCGGCTAGAGGCTGTGCCATTACATCCAATGACATTTCTGGATGGGGGGTTATTACATCTAGATTCCAGTTTGGTGAAGGATTTTTGATTTATATTTCAAGCACACTAAACCACTCTAAACATAAAAAGATTTCTGCCACCCATCCAAACATTATTATGTAGACCCATATTTCTTCCTAGTAAGGAAAGAGAATCACTAGGAAAGGTTAAAGCTGACAAACAGAGGAAGGAGACAGATTAAACTCTTTTGCTCGCCAATTATCCAAAATGCAAACATCAGTTTCTGTTATCAAAGTGGTCAGCTCTCTCCTTTATAAACAAAATCTCTAGATGCGCTTGAATCTCGCCCTTTGATGTACCAGAGAGAGATCTGGGTTTAATCTGCCAACCTGTTGATTCTGACCACCTCACACAGGCCAATTCATTTAGCTATTTAAGGAAAAAGTCAACATTTTTCAGGCACTTTGCAACATTTAAAAACTTAAATTATTTAAGTTATTTAAAGTCTACTTGACAAACAACCCTCACTCCCCTATCCCCCATGAAAAAGTAGCTAATTCTGTTACAATATCTCTGTGAGAAGATAAGTTCCTTCCGTTTCGCCAAGGAAATAGCAGAGATGTTTCCTTCCATCTTTACTCCACATTCAGGAGCTCTGCCTCTGAAAACACAGCGTTTTAGGTTTCTTGAAATCAGTCCCTGTTTAAAGATTCTTTGTGAAACCAAGCTCAGAAAGTTTACTAGTGGAGGAGTACACTGCCACTACTGACATTCTTGAGACAAAAATTCAATTTCGGTTGAGTTCCTGTGATCCCCTGAGCAGTTATAAATGCCCTTTACTATAAGGAGGCAGTGTAAGACAAAGCAAATTCTTCAAATACATGTACATTTGTATTCATCCTAATATGAAATACATTGATAGAAGAGGGTACTGATTTTTTTTTTTCTGAAGTGTTTAGAGCTTTGAAGGAAAATAAAGACATTTAACATTGAGAAATTTCTAATAAATGATTAAAAATGTTTTTGGTTGGTTGCCATTCAAAAGTTTTCCCAGAGTTCTCATCTATGTTCTGTACAAACTGGAAATAAAAATGTACACAACCAACAGCTGTACTATACATGTATCAGATATCAATATGTACGTGTGAATTAAAGTTCCTTAAATATACACATCCCCATTTAGGATACATTCCATTACATAGGAAAAGCATCATTCTTTAATAATAGGTCCGGAATAGCAGCAATTTAATAATCTAGTTACCCAGTTACCTCAGAAAGTATAGGTCCTGATAGTTCCTGACGGGATGTCCCTGACTTCAAGGAGAGCTCTCTATCAACATTTTTATGTTCTCATGAAGCACCAGGATACACTGTTAATGGCAATTATGGAATCCTGTCACTGGAGAAAAAGTTACTGTCTTTTCAAAACTCATTTATTCAAAATCTAACTAAAGGTGTGATGGGAAAAGTAAGTCACAATGAGGTGATACAAATCCAAACTGTTTATGATACATAAAGCATTTACATTTTACTTCTTACATATTTTTTGTTGTTGTTTTATCAGTGCCTCGTTCATACGGAAAGTATTCAGATTGCCCTAACAGATGCTGAAAGAGCAATACAAAACTTTGCTGAGAGCTGCTCTGAATTGTTTGAAAATACGTAAACTTGATTATCAATTAGTGTTTTTACAAACTGAGACAGCATGATATCGTTCTAAGTATTGTTTTAAAAGAGTTATGTTTATGAATCTATACTTTTGGGTAAGTTATGAACTTGCAACCAAAATTTACATATATAATACGCAAAAAACCTTTAGGGTGATTTATATTAAACCATATTAGTGATAGAGGGAAAGATAGAATGGCTTTTACGTAAACCTTTATTTTGTGTGTACTACTGGGTATATCCATGCCTGTCCAATGGATAGAAATTCTAGATAGGCAGCAAGTACACAGATTTTAGATGTACATATGGACTTTCGTGTTCACTTTTGGTGTGTACTTTTAGGTCCAATTCTAGATCTGTTGGGTGTATGAACACAGAGCTCAAGAAAGGTTTCTGTTATCTATGATGAAGTTTTGAACCTTGCCACTCTACCCAGACTTCTTATAAAACAATCTTGTAGACTGCAGCTACTGGCTTTAAGAGAAGAGTTTATCACCTTAAAAATGTTACATTTGCCAAGGGAGAGAGACTAAATCAGACCATATTGTTTTACATGCTGCAACCCTTTTACTGGGAAGGGACAACTCCCTCCGCACAGCAGTTTTCTCCTGCTTGAAGCTGAGATCACACGAGGAGAAAACCATTGTGTTTCTGCCAAGTCACTGTGGGAATGCTGGGAAAGCACACCCGGTAGCTGGCAGAGGCAGAGCCACCATATTGACTCCTAAGATAAGCAGCCTGCTTTATAGCTCTTATGAGAATTTTCCCTTAGACAGTCTTATCCCTTCCTCTCCTACGTGGGAGCTTTCCCCCATGTTTCTCATGGTGGTCAACACAGGATATACTGGCTTCTCAGTTGTAATGTATGTTGCCAACCATGGCAACACATTTATTATACTGAATATTCACTCAGGCTCCTTGAATTTGGCTCGGAGTTGAACAGTCCAGTGCGATCCTTCAGATGATAAAATGTTGACGTGTTAGTTCCTCCTCAGCACCTCCAAAGCTTCAACATGCTCCAGAGACACAGCCTGGACTGTAGAACCCGGTTCTCTTTACACAGGAACATACACACTAGTGCTTGGCCTTTTCTGATACTGAAGGTAGGCAGACAAGTTCAAGGTTTGGACACAGAGGCACTTCCAAAGTTTGGCAAGGAGAAGGAGGTGAGTTCACTAAGTGGGGTTTTATCACTGTGCTGTCTCGTATAACCCAGACATCTGTGGCACATGACATGAACAGAAATCTTTAGGTTGTGGATGGGTCATGCTTTTTCTTCTTGCCCCGACAGGACTTACAGACACAGCAGATTATACATGGGGAAGCCAGGAGCAGCAAGGGTGAAGTCACCAAGGCAATGATGCCCAATCCCACAAGAATCCCGACCACCTGGAAATGTAGAAGAAAAACCCATTTTAGCAGTTAAATCTTCCTCTATGTAGACTATACCATCAGCTATAGACTGGATGTTTCTGTCTCCCCAAAATTCATATGTTGAAACTCTAATACCCTATATAATGATGTTTAGAAATGGGGGCCTTTGGGAGGTAATTAGGACACAAGGGTGGAGACCAAATGATGGGATTACTGTCCTTATAAGAAGACACACCAGAGAGCTTGCTTCTTCTCTCTCTGCTTTCTGCCATGTGAGGATACAGTGAGAAGAGCTTCATCTGTAAACGAAGAGAGTCCTCACCAGAACCCAACCATACTGGCACCCTGATTTCAGATATCCAATCTCCAGAACTGTGAGAAATAAATTCCTGTTGTTTAAGCCACCCAGACTATGGTAATTTCTTATAGCAGAACTGACCAAGAGGCCATCTCACACACAAAAAAACAGTTATAATTATGGGCCCCTTTAGTCAGTGCCCAGCAATGCTCTAAACTGGATATAAACCAGGGAGATACCAAGCACTAAATCAAAGATGAGAAGAACAACCCAAATGCTAAATCAGGTTCTGGTGCAAGCTCAGAATAATCGTGAATTGTTGGTGTTGGCTCTCTCTCTACCTGAGTTTCCTCAACAGTCTCATAGGTATGTTAATAATGATTACTAGGCTATTAACACTGACTCCCTCAAAAGGAACATGGCCTTTAATAAATATGAAACACTATTAAAAATAAACCAGACTCCCTTTGAACCTTCCACATAAACACACAATGGTATGTACAGACAGATCTAAGCCCCAGCAGGGACTCAAAGGATTTTAGAGCCTTGCCTTTCACAGCAAATATGCCTTAAAGGGCTTTAGGAAAGTCATTCTAGCATTTTTTCAGGAGGAAAGAACATCTGCCTTCATTCTGCAGGTCACTGTTAATTACTTGGCTCCTCTGGTGCCCTGCCCCCCTACTTATCCCCAAGGGGATTGCACTCATGAATTAACTTCTGGCAGTTGCTCCATTACTTTCCCTAGCCCTGCCCCAGAACTCCCCAGAACCTCCCAGGCTGGGATGGGTAGGTAGGGAATAGAGAGGGGAGGATGAGTGGTGGGCTTTTTAAGCCATCATAAGTCTGGTTTATTTCATGCTCCTTTTGGGGTCAGGGTACCTGTGTTCGATTCCACATCACTGAGGCTCTTGAGTGGCCGAGCTTATTCCTACATGGCCCTTTGTCATAATGTCTGAGGAAAATGTCATTCTGAAAAACAGAGAGAGGTTTCAGTAAACATGCAGTTTTGAACTGAAAGATGGACACTAATCACATCAGATCACCTTAGTGGAAGCAAAGGCTCTTTCTGGTGATATTAATGACGGCCTATGGAATTCCAAGCCTGTAATCTTAATCAGTAGTTTTATAAATCATCAAGTGAAAACAGATCATAATCAACAAGGCTCTTGATTGAGTCTAAAAAAGATTAATGACCTGACCAACTATTTTCAAAAGGTAGCTCTAGCAAACAGTGCAATACGGAATGAGAGGACCATGAGCCAGGCAGCTAAAAGGCTATTGCAGTAAAGCAAGTGAGACAAAATGCCAGTGGCTGAGATGGAGAAGAGGAAAACACAGTCATGAGATATTAAGAAGGTAACTTACTAGATGGGAAGGAGGGAGAAGAAATCACAGAGGAGGGGAAAGCCACTGGGTAGGAGGCAGTGGCTTTGTTGAGAGAAGTGACAACATAGAGATGGAGTTGGTTGGGAAGATGATGACCACAGTTTAGATATGTTGAACTTGAGAGAGATTTGAGACATTCAAGCAGTACTGTTCAAAAAACTTCTGGATTTTGGAAAAAAGACTCGGGAATAAGTGTACATGAGGTGGAAGAAATCACAGAAGTAGATGAGATTACCCAGGGAGAGAGTATAGACTGAGAAGCAAAGAGGCTGTTGAAAACAAACGTTTAAAAATGGGTCAAGGGAGAGCCTGGAAAGGAAGCTGAGAAGTGGCCAGAAACATAGAAGAGAAACCAGAAGAGATGGTATCACTGAAACAGAGGTGGTCAAGATTCAAAGGCAGCAGAGAATTTAGGTAAGATGAGGACTGAAGGATCCATTGGATTTTATCCAAAAGAAATCACTCAAAGCCTTGGAAGGGTGTGACTAGGTGGCAATCTGAGTATATTACAATGATTGGAGGTAAGTAAGTGTCAACAACTAGATGTGATTATGCTTTTTTGAGACGCGTGGCGCCAAAATGAAGGAGAGAAATAGAATGGTAGAAGGGGAAAGACCGAGGCTTGAGAAAAGTGTTACTCATTTTTAAATGGGACACTTGAATGTGTGGATATGCTAGAGTAGAGAGTAAAGAGCGGAAGTTGAAGTCACAGGAGAGAGAAGAGATAACTGAGGGACAAGTCTCTGAGGTTCCCAAAGCAGAAGACTGAAAATACCTCATCCTCTAAACAGCAGGGATGAGGACCAAGGCAGGAACAAACTCAGTGCCACAGCCAAACTCAAAATCACTGTGGTGTCTGTCTCAGGCTGGGCTTTTGGACAGTCGCTCTTCTCCTAGGCCCATGCTCTAAAACTTTCCTATAAACAAAGATCAACACCTCCATCTGACATCGAACACTCGTCTACAGAAAAACATCATTACCAACAGGCCAATACCCCCGGGTAAAAACCGAGAAAATGAGATCTCAAAAAACAATGACCAGAAAAAGATGTAGACATTTAACATCTGCTCCATTTCATCTCGAGACCAGAGCAGCACAAGTGACAGAACAATGTGTTCCTTGCAACACCATACCCCAAACATATTTCAGCCAAGGGATGGAGCGATCTGGTGCACATATTTACTCCCTTCACTCTTGCCTCCTAAAGAGAACCTCATGGGCTTGGCCTCATTGTGGATACGAACCCAATTAATATTCTGATTAAACCTGAAGGAAAGCAAAAAAGATTTCTTTCATTTGTAAAGCATGTACAATCAGTCATATCCTCATCCAGAATACCACTCATTTGGAACGATGAGAGGTCTCAAATATCAAACATAATTGTAATTCAAGGGGTTATGATAAACAAATTTTTTTTAAAGAATGAAAACATTTCTTTCAACCTGCGTTGCTGAGCTTCTGGGGCCTAAAATGTCAATTTTCTTCTCCTCAGTTTATGCCTCTTCTTGAAACACTGACATCCAGCTGATTAAGCTTCTTGCTCCTGGATATCATCTTAAACAGCTTAACTCATTTTCAGGTAAAAGTCAGGCATGTGGTGGCCAGGATGCATCCCATATTAACCACACGCTCACTCGCTGAGGGTGTATGATACCAAAGCACGACACAAATTATTTATCGAATTGAGGCAAACTAAGCAACTAAAATGAAAAGCTGAGAAGAGAGTGGTCATTCAACCATGACTGAGGATTTACACTGATATGGACATATTTTAAAGGTCCAAATTGCCAAAATAGGGAATATCTACAAATAACTTATGCTACCCCAAACTTTAAAACATTAGAATTGAAAACCATAGATTTCTCACCAATCCTTCACACTACCTTTTAACTCTGAGGTTACCACTAGCCTTAGCACAGGACTGAATGAAACTGCACCTGAACTTGAGAAGACATGCTTCCTGAAGGGTGAGGAAAAAGAATAATTAGACTACACCCCTTTATCTGGGAAGGGGAGCTTGACAATACAGTAGCAATACCGCTGTCAGGCCAAACAACGAGATGGTTATTTAAGAGTCACCATTGCCTTGAACGGCTTTTTTCTTAAATTCAAAAAGAGGAAAACAACCTAATTGTGGTAGGCAGAATAATTGGTCCTGTAAAGATGCCCATGGCCTATCCTCCAAAACTTGTGAATATGTTACCTTACATGGCAAAAAGGATTTTGCAAATGTGATTAAATCAAAACCCTGAGATGGGGAAGAGTATCTTGTATTATCCATTGGGCCTGATCAAATCACATGGGTCCTTAAAGGCAGAGAAGCTTCCTGGCTGTCATGTCAGAGGGAATGACTCTGGAAGCTATGACTATGGAAGAAGAGTGAGAGAGATGCGATGTTGCTGCCTTTGAAGATGGAGAAAGGGGCCACAAGCCAAGGAATGTAGGAAGCCTCTAGGAGCTGGAAAAGGCAAAGAAATGGATTCTCCCCCAGAGGCTCCAGAAAGAATGCAGCCCTGAGGACACCTTGATATTAATCCAGTGAGACCCATGTCATGTCAGACTTCTTATGTACAGAACCAAAGGTAATAAATTTGTGCTGTTTTAAGCCACAAGTTTGTGGTAAATTGTTATAATAGCAATGTAAAACTAACACACTAATAGCCCTTTACATACTAGAATGAGGGAATGACCAAAAAGCAGGAAATGTCCTAAAACAAAAATTTGTCTTTACAACTAAGGTGACACATCTAAGGTAATCAGGGAGAGGTTTTATAGATATCTAAAACAGCAGGCTCAGAAAGTCTCATTAAGAGACACAAATTTCTTTTGCAGGACAAAAATAGCCTCAATGTTTTAAAAGGAAAGCCTGTAGGATACTGGCTTCTGCACAGATCCGATATGGAGAAAGACCATCAGAGAAGACTCTTCCAAGGGGAACTTACGTCCAGGTTCTGGAGACAGTACCAGCAGAATGTGTGCTTGCAGTTTTTGCACATCATCTGAGCGCAGCCTTCGTTGCGTTCAATATAAACTCGGCAAACTGGGCATTGCTTAATGGGGGCTTCTGCATCTGTCCCGAAGAGGGCCCTAGAAACAAAACGGATGAAAATTATAGGGTGGGGATTGAGAACGCTGCCTGACTTTTTAAAAAGCTAGGACCACAAGGGTGTACACTAACCAGAGCTGTGGGAAGAGCGGGCTGACTCTAATTAATTAAACAGTTAAAGAATGCCCTTCTGGACTCAACTTTATGGTCAACTGAATTCCCAGCGCCCCTGATGGGTGGGTAGTGAACTCTTCGTTATTGCTGCTTAATTCACTTCTGAGGAAAAGGGTGGAGGTAAAAATAGAAGAGATACAGATTATTAGTGGTTCAGATAACTCAAAATAAAAAAGAACCCTAATTTATTTATCATTGGCTTTGCGTGAATAATATAATTGTATTTTCCACAGCTGATTTAACTCATTGTTTTGCCAAATTATTATTTTATTCCCTGAGCACACACTGCCTGAATAAAAAGGACAAGAAGTCTGTTGTACAGCATAAAAACTAGCTCAGGACCTAAGGGGCATAGATGATCTAATGACCTGTCCAAATACAGTCATGCACCATATAATGACATTTCGGTCAATGACGGACTGCGTGTGTGACAGTGGTCCCATAAGATTAGTACCATATAGCCTAGGTGTATAGTATGCTATACCATCTAGGTTTGTGTAAGTACACTCTATGATGTTCACACAATGACTAAATTGCCTAACGACATATTTCTCAGAATGTATCCCCTTCAAGCAACGAGTGACAGTCAACAAATAGAGGAGGCTGGGGGAGTCAATAATCAATTCTATAATACAAATGCCCAATTTCATTGAAAAGACCTGTTGCAAACAGATGAATAGGCCAGCACAGTCTCACAGCCTAAAGGAGAACAGAAAATAGGCGAACAAATTGGGGTGAAAAGGAGGGCTTGGTGAGCCATAGCACTGGGTCGCACTTTAGTTCATCAAAACCACCACTCAGCACACACAGACATCAGGTTCGCAAAGTATTGTCAAATCTACAATGGTATTTGGTACTCACAATAACCTTATATAGCAGTGGGACAGTTACTATTCTAATCCTCCCTTTTTTTCAAATAGAGAAACAGACTCATAGAGGCTGAGTGACTTGCAGGACATCACACAGATACCAAGTATGAATGTTAGAACTCAATCCTCTCTCCTGTGGGATCTTTACGTTGTCCTGTGATACCTGAAGACCTTACTGCCATGGCAGGGAGAACATACAAAGCACTAGCTAAGAGGGCACGTGCCTGCCACGTGTATTAGAGCTTTTTTTCCTCTTGATTTGTTTGGTCTGAGATTCAAGCACAGTCTCACAGCCAGGTAGCATTACTGCTCCTGAAGAATGGTTCTACACACTCTGAGGGCGCTGGGTGATTAAGCCAACTGGACTATAACACTGGTATTTCTGTTCTTGCCGCTGCAGAACAGCCATAGCCTCAAGCAAAGCAAGGGATCAAACACAAAGGTCTCTCACTCTGGGCCCTGCTGTTGCCATAAAACCCTCCATACTGGAAGGTAACAGATTTAATTGCCTCTCATCGTAACAAATCTCAACCTTGGCACCATCTTTTCAGAGCATAAACGTATTGAGAGATAAGCTCTTTTTCTCAAGCACCTATAAATTTAGCACTGTGCTACACTGAAGGGCTATTGCTTCTATTGCTGTGTTCTCTCTGATATGATTGGCACACCTCAGAAGCCAACACTTTAGTCACGTAAGAAAATAATCTCTGCACCACTCTGCAAGCAGGAAGAACGAGGTATGTCCATAGGAGATGGTTATGGCACCTGAGCAAATTGCTCTGGACAAGCCATGACTTCCTACTGAGAATCAGCAGACCATGTGCCTCTCTACCTAAAGAGAAATCAAAACTCATAGAAACCCTAACTTCGGCAGTATCTGGAAGATTCTCTGGTGGTAAATAACTAAAATCCTTTAGAAATGCTTTTTGGTTATTCTTTGTTAACAGCTTACCAATTCAGAGACACTTCACAGGAAAGTTCTGTAGGAAATAACTAATCTCTAAATTCCATCTCAAGATAACTTCTTCTCCATGCAACATCTTTGGGGTTTCTAAGAAAACTAGTGAGTAATCCCAAAGACAAAGTTTCTTTTCTTACCCATGCTCTGTTGGCAGGACGATAGGTTGACTCTCTCTACAGGAGACCTCTGCATGCCAGACATCCTTGCAACATGAGCAGAACTTCAGGTGGCAAGAAGGGCACTCCACCAGCACAGGCTGTCCTGGGTCACTTGATGCAACGGGGCACACTGTCTGACAGTCTGCCACGGGACACCATGTTCGGTAGGGGTCCAGGTGAACTTCTAAAGCATAAAGAAACAAAATGTGATGGTCTATCTATCTTTCATTCAAGCCTGAGGCTTTCTCCCCTTCAATTATACTTGTATAGGCTAACACCTATGGAAGCTTAGTACAACCAATGGTGGTGATTTCTACTATTGGTCTTTGTATGGATGCAAACTTACAAGGTCACCCAGCCCTGCCACATTTCTCAAGTAGGTACTAATGGAATAGGCCACCATGACTTCATGAATAGATAAGGAACATTCTCACCAACCAAAATTTGCAATTCTTTTGGAATATTTCTCACCTTCCAGCACTCATAACAGGCAAAAGTCTCTAGTCAATTCTACTATTATTTTAGGTACTAGCTTGGAGGAAAATTGGGCTGGAAGGCCCTACCAGAGCAAAAGAAAAACAAAATTCACAAAAGACTTTGTGCTTTCAGGCACTGAAAAATAGGTAGTGAGGTTTCTTCTGTCATTCAGAGGGAAACTAAAGATCAAGGAAGAATCAAGCAGTTTAGGGACCAAACAATGTCTGGTGTCGCTTAGCCAAGAAGTCAGATTAGCTGTCAATCAATATTCTAGTTAGGGACAATTTGTAAAAGACCTACATGATCTAAAAACAAACGGTAAGAACTTTCACAATCCATAAAATGACTGTCAGTCGTATACTGCATTGGCTCGATTCATGCGGCATGCAGGAAAGAAGACACGGTTGGGGGGTGGACAACTGTCTTTCTATTCAAGTGTGTATAAATCTTGTTCAGTTTTCCATTTTCTATTCAACAACAGACTCTGTGTTCTTGTCATCTAATATGACCTTTAAGGGAACATATCATGTGAAAAATGATGTTATTTGAGGGGTAGAGTAGCCCTTTTTTCTCTGAACTAATGTATTTTGCAAAGTTTGAACTGATGAGATTCTAGCCTTAAATATCCTAAGGCTTGTGATTCTTAGAAATTTCAGGGGAGCAAGCAAACAAACCCAAAGGGTAGTACAAAGAACAAATGAAGGTATTAAATATGAGCTTAGTTTTAAAGGCAATAATTTTACAAATTCAGTATCAGGGAAAAAATGTCTGAATTGTTCTAGTAAACACCATCTCCATTAACGTCTCACCTAGAAAATGCAACAATTGGATCTATGCTTATTATGGGTTTTCATTCAAAAAGAGCACCCTTAAACATACTTATCTAATCACTCTGGGGAGCAGGGGTTAGGTAACGATGGGCTAAATATAACCAGAGAAAGGGAAGCCTATGATTCACAGATCCTCAGACCCTAAGAGAGACAGACCCTCTAAGATCCCTAAAACTCTGAGACAGGCTAGTTAGAAAGTCAAGGGGAGAGTGACACCCATATGCCCCAAGGTCTTAACCTTTTATTTCCTACACCATTTATATTTTCTTCCAAACTCTTCTAACTGCTTCACAAATACTAAGCCCAAAGATCTGAAGCCTAGTATGTAACTTAGAGCTAAGGGCTCCCACATCAAATATCTACCTACCATCCATTCTGCATCACAGATCTTTTAAAAGTGTGATGATAAAGAAGGGAAAGGAAAGGAAAGGACAGTTAAGACACATATTATAGTTAAAATTTATGGCATCACTACTGATCACCTTAAAAAGATACAAGGATGCAACTTGTCCTCATAACTCCAATCAATTAAAATTATTTGGTAGATGTTCTGACTTGCTTGTTCCTACCAACTTATTTCAGGTATCTGGAATGGCACAATAGATACAGAAACAGTAAATATGGGAGCAACTATAGATTTCGATGAATTCCTATAAAGAAAGGACCTTAGTATGCAGTGTGGCTATGACACAAGAGTCCAAAGGAAAAGCAAAGGAAGAGTCTGAGCCACAGAAAACAGTGATCTTTTGAACTTTTCCCTACTATGACAGTACATAAATGACCATGTACACGAGAGTAGAGGAAGGGGCAGAAGAGAGACATTATAGCTTCCTACTTATTTCTTTCACTAGAAGTCTTGTTCTTTAGGGATAGCTTATAGAGTTTAACTAACACCAAAAGTGGAGTTACTGTGAGATAGATTTTGACTCTATCCAGAAATGAAATTGGCTACTCTAGCGAACTCTACTCTACTCAATATCTATCCCAACTCCTTTCAACTCTCCTCACTGAGAAGACTTGCCTATCTCTATAGAGGTGGAACATTCCAGAAATTTGCTTTCTCGGCCTTCCTTGCAGCTGAGGCTTGGGCATGTGACATAATTCTGGCCAATGGGAGGAAGGGGAAAGTCCACCAGGGGGCTTCTGGAATAGGACGTCCTCCTTGATACAGGGAAGAAACACCCTTTGGTCTTTCTGCCTCTGAACACAGCTGTGTGAAGTTACGATGCTTGGGCCATGACAACAATCCTGGAACTCTGAGTGAAAGCTAAGTGAGTTAGAGAAGTTGAGCTGCTAAATCAACCAAACCTGGGACAGCTTACCTCTGGACTTCCTGTGTGAGAGGTAATTCAATGCCCTCGCTGTTTTCTGTTCCTTGAAGCTAAAAGCATCTTCGTTGAAGAGGTTACCTCTAGTAATAGTGAGCAAATCCCCAGTTCAAACAAGGACTGCTCCTCTCATGTGGCAGATATTTTATAAAGAGGATTAAAGCACCATGTCCAAGAGGACCTTTAAAGTCTTTTCCAACCCACTGATTTTATCATTCTATATTCTAAATCCATGAGGCACATGGAAATGTCTGTATATAAATAGAAATAAAATATATACCACATACATTAGCCTGTAGAAAACCTTATCGACCATAACAAAAATTTATTTTTATTATTCATTAACTTTTTTAAAAAGTTAACACACTATTCCAGATCAATAAGGTTTTTATGTATGTTAGTAGACAAATAATGTACATCCATATAGTTAAACACAATGGAGCTTTAAAAAAATAAGGTAAATCAATGTGACAATATGGAGAGCTCTCTAAGATATGTCAACAAAAGTAGATTGAAGAAGAGCAGAAATGAACTATGTTTATAAAAACATGTATATATAGAAATATGTTTTAACATTTCCAGGAGAATATCTAAGAAACATAACAACAGTTGCCCTTGAGTAAAGGGCAGGAGGGTTGGCGGAGGAGGCAAAGATTTGCTTTATTACTAAACTTGAATTTTAAAAAACCTGAACCAATACAACTTTTATAATTTTTAAAAGCTAGTTTAAAAAGGCTACTTTCAACGTGGCATACGAACAAGACAACTTATAAAATAATTCTGCAACTAAGCTGTCCTCTGGAAAATCATTCACTTTTTATAGCATTGAAACATATTCAAATTTCCCCTTTGTGTGACCTTCTTCTCCAGATACATAAATAACTCTTGTTCTATGCTTTTCCTTCCCTCTAAAAAATCCCCTCTCTGCTTTACCAAGTCATGGCCCATCTATCCATTCTTAAAGGACCTACTTCCTTGTGCTTGTCTTCATTTTGGCGTCACAGAATCCACATCTTGTTCATTGCTGTTCTCTGTGCATTTCATGGAGATGGGCTTTCTCTTTTTAGATTGCAGGCAAGGGCTATTTCTGTCCTATTTGTGTGCTCCATGTACCTGACACAGTGCTGGGATGCTACCTATTAATTTAAAGCAGTAATTCCTGGGTTTTTCAAAAGCAGAGATATACTCCTCTGCAAACAATGGACTTATAATACCATCTTGAATTGCCTTGCACTGGAATTTATTTTCCATTCTCTTCTGGTGCTCTCATCAACAGACGTGCATAGCACACTAAAATCATCCAACATCAGTCCTCGTGTTCAAAGTATGCTATGATCTATATTAGACCATACATCTCCACCCACCTCAGTTAGGGCTCTCTGCATTTGGAAAGATGTCAACTTGGCAAAACACGAAACTTTACATATAGTACTTTCAAAATTGAACCTCCTTTATGAAGTGTCACTTATAAATAAGGGCAACAATAAAAAATTTTTCTAACATTAAAATAAGTAATAATTACCCCTTCTAGAACCCTACTGTCCTATACCTAACATCCACTTTACTTCATATCTAATTTCAATCCTTGGACGAGTGATCCACATTCACTGATTCTCATTCGTATCCTTTCATAGCCTCCTTAAGTCTTTAAAATAAAGTTTTAACTTTCAACACATTAATAAATTGCTCTCTGAAAGTTACAACTAACATCCCTCTAGTCACATCCAGTAAATGTTTCTCAATCCATTCTCTGTCTGATACTTTTCTTGTAACTCTATCCCCGTGGGTAAGGCACTGCCCTCTCTATTTTCTTCCCACAGTCCTCCTCTCTCCTTTATCATCAAAACTGCCTCCTTTGCTCCCGTCTATCGATGGTACCTAAGACTTAGTCCTAGATTTCTCCCACATTTTACTTATTTATAGAACTCATGCCATGACTAAGCTTCAATTCTCACTTTAATTAGAACTGTTCCAAACTTCTTTTTCAAGCCTGACCTATTGTGATGATAAGACTGAAAATTAGGCAAATGTCTATGATTCATTGTGCATTCAACAAATGACTGATTTCAGGTACTTGTTAGAGGCTCCGGGCCTATGAAGATGAAAAATAGAGGCTTTGCTCCTCAGAAATCTCACAGTATGAAAAGGGAAAGAGACATTTAAAACAATGTGATGTAAAAAAACAAGCAATGTAATAACTGACAGAGCATCCCACAAGATAAGAAAACGAAATTGTTGACAGGTATCCGTGAGCAGATCTTAGGGGTGGAGGTAAGGAATATTTAATACACAGAAAGTTTTTTAAATACAGAAATATTTTAATGTACAGAAAGTTTTTTACCCACAGTGAAGCTTCCCCTTTTAATCAGCTCTAAAATCAAAAGGTAAAACTGGTCTGTCCTGATCACGGTGCAAAGCAGATGACACACGCTGAGATGAAACACAAAGAGATTAAGTTAGAAAGAGCTAAAGCATCACATAAACAGAGATTTAAAAAAATTAAAATTCCCTGGAATAGCAACTCTGTAGGCAGCCAGAGTCTGGAAGGT